CACATGACTAATGGGATCACATGACTTACGAGACAGTGTTACATGCCTTACGAGACAGTGTCACATGACTAATGGGATCACATGACTTACGAGACAGTGTTATATGCCTTACGAGACAGTAACACATGACTAATGGGATCACATGACTTACGAGACAGTGTTACATGCCTTACAAGACAGTGACACATGACTAATGGAATCACATGACTTACGAGACAGTGTCACATGACTTACGAGACAGCGACACATGACTTACAAGACAGTGTCACATGACTTACGAGACTGTATGAGCGTGGCCGCTTTCTCCCGTTGCCACTTGTTTCTGTAGTAGAGAGTGCGAGCATGCCAGCTGCGTATGACAGACTGCAGCGTGATGACCTTTCTGTGGTAGGCCTCGTACTGCCTAGCCAGCTGTTCTATGTGGTAGTACTTCAGGAACACCTGTAACATCGTAGTAACACCTTAGCAACATCATAGTAGTAACATCATAGTAGTAACATCATAGAAGTAACATCGTAGTAGTAACATCGTAGTAACATTGTAGTACCAGCTTAGTAATATAGTAGTAACATTGTAGTAACAATGAAGTAACATCATAGTAGTAACATTGTAGTACCAGCTTTGTAATGTAGTAGTAAGATCGTAGTAACATGGTAGTAGCACCGTAATAGTAACATTGTAGTAACATTGTAGTACCAGCTTAGTTATATAGTAGTAACATTGTAGTAACAATGAAGTAACATCTTAGTAGTAACATTGTAGTACCAGCTTTGTAATGTAGTAGTAAGATTGTAGTAACATGGTAGTAGCACCGTAATAGTAACATCGTAGTAACATTGTAGTACCAGCTTAGTAATGTAGTAGTAACATCCTAGTAACATGGTAGTAGCACCGTAATAGTAACATCGTAGTTACATCGTAGTACCATCGTATATTTTTTCCCTACATTACCATTTTGATGTATGCAGACCCATATGAGACATCCTAACACCTAATCAGTGTAAGCCTTGTCAGAATGATATCGTCAATTCTGTTACATCTGACAATAGGACATGTCACTGTTGTGAAAATGATGTAGTCTACTCATTTAAACTTACCCTGAACATCTGTGTATAGTGTGCACACTATTTAAGGGGGAAATGATAAAATCAAGAAACGAGTGTGCATTCTACACAGTAACAATCTAAAACCAAGCCTGGGCTGCGACCATTTATTATTATTTTGAGGGGGGGGGGGGGAATATTTTGAAAAATGCTTGCAGCAATGAACATGGTACACGTACTCCTCTGATATCGCTGTCTGGGTCAGTCAGATTTGCAGACGGTCACAAAACAAGATGGAATCGTATGTTTCATAAGCAACAACGTTATTTTACAAATGACAGGCGTCAGCAGATCTCGCCGTACTGTGTGAGCACCGACTGTATCATTGTTATTGTTCACGGGGAGTTTGATCTCGCCGTACTGTGTGAGCACCTACTGCATCATTGTTATTGTTCACGGGAAGTTTGATCTCGCCGTACTGTGTGAGCACCTACTGTATCATTGTTATTGTTCATGGGAAGTTTAATCTCGCCGTTCAGCTGTGTGAGCACCTACTGTATCATTGTTATTGTTCATGGGAAGTTTGATCTCGCCGTTCAGCTTTGTGAGCACCTACTGTATCATTGTTATTGTTCATGGGAAGTTTGATCTCGCCGTACTGTGTGAGCACCTACGGTATCATTGTTATTGTTCATGGGGAGTTTGATCTCGCCTTACTGTGTGAGCACCTACGGTATCATTGTTATTGTTCACAGGGAGTTTGATCTCGCCGTACTGTGTGAGCACCTACTGTATCATTGTTATTGTTCATGGGGAGTTTGATCTCGCCGTACTGTGTGAGCACCTACGGTATCATTGTTATTGTTCACGGGGAGTTTGATCTCGCCGTACTGTGTGAGCACCTACTGTATCATTGTTATTGTTCACGGGGAGTTTGATCTCGCCGTACTGTGTGAGCACCTACTGTATCATTGTTATTGTTCACGGGGAGTTTGATCTCGCCGTACTGTGTGAGCACCTACTGTATCATTGTTATTGTTCACGGGGAGTTTGATCTCGCCGTACTGTGTGAGCACCTACTGTATCATTGTTATTGTTCACGGGGAGTTTGATCTCGCCGTACTGTGTGAGCACCTACTGTATCATTGTTATTGTTCACGGGGAGTTTGATCTCGCCGTACTGTGTGAGCACCTACTGTATCATTGTTATTGTTCACGGGGAGTTTGATCTCGCCGTACTGTGTGAGCACCTACTGTATCATTGTTATTGTTCACGGGGAGTTTGATCTCGCCGTACTGTGTGAGCACCTACTGTATCATTGTTATTGTTCACGGGGAGTTTGATCTCGCCGTACTGTGTGAGCACCTACTGTATCATTGTTATTGTTCACGGGGAGTTTGATCTCGCCGTACTGTGTGAGCACCTACTGTATCATTGTTATTGTTCACGGGGAGTTTGATCTCGCCGTACTGTGTGAGCACCTACTGTATCATTGTTATTGTTCACGGGGAGTTTGATCTCGCCGTACTGTGTGAGCACCTACTGTATCATTGTTATTGTTCACGGGGAGTTTGATCTCGCCGTACTGTGTGAGCACCTACTGTATCATTGTTATTGTTCACGGGGAGTTTGATCTCGCCGTACTGTGTGAGCACCTACTGTATCATTGTTATTGTTCACGGGGAGTTTGATCTCGCCGTACTGTGTGAGCACCTACTGTATCATTGTTATTGTTCACGGGGAGTTTGATCTCGCCGTACTGTGTGAGCACCTACTGTATCATTGTTATTGTTCACGGGGAGTTTGATCTCGCCGTACTGTGTGAGCACCTACTGTATCATTGTTATTGTTCACGGGGAGTTTGATCCCGCCGTACTGTGTGAGCACCTACTGTATCATTGTTATTGTTCCCGGGGAGTTTGATCTCCCGTACTGTGTGAGCACCTACTGTATCATTGTTATTGTTCACGAGGAGTTTGATTTATGTAATACATAGAACACAATACATTTCCAGCACACACACACAGGCATACACACATAGGGAAATTTGAATCAAGTTCCATGAAAATGGCTGTTCATAATAATATTTAAACAGCTGGTTTTAGAGTCACATGTGCTAATAATATTAACCAATCACAAAACTTGCAACAAAGCACAAAATCAAATTTGGAATTAAATCTTAGCAACATCAGTTCCATCAAAGTCACATAAAAGTCACAACAAAGTCACATAAAAGTCACAACAAAGTTGCATAAAAGTCGCAACAAAGTCGCAGAAAAGTCACAACAAAGTCACATAAAAGTCACAACAAAGTTGCATAAAAGTCACAACAAAGTCGCAGAAAAGTCACAACAAAATCAAATACAGGTCCTAGCACATACAATCACATAAAAGTCCTAGCATATAAAAATCACACGTAAAGTCCCAACACATAAAAATCACAACAAAGTCACAACAAAGTCATATCAAAGTCACATTGGAGTCACACAAGTAATATCAATGTCACATTGGAGTCACACAAGTAATATTAAAGTCACATTGGAGTCACAAAAGTAATATCAATGTCACATTGGAGTCACACAAGTAATATCAAAGTCACATTGGACTCACACAAGTAATATCAATGTCACATTGGAGTCACACAAGTAATATCAATGTCACATTGGAGTCACACAAGTAATATTAAAGTCACATTGGAGTCACAAAAGTAATATCAATGTCACATTGGAGTCACACAAGTAATATCAAAGTCACATTGGAGTCACACAAGTAATATCAATGTCACACCACAGTTAAATTAAAGATGAATGTTGACACACAGGTGATTACACCTTTGCATTTAGGTAACATATACTGCATCATACAGCAGTTTTCTCCCTCCAGAACTTATCAGTGGTTCATCTTTATAAAGAGTGAGTGAATTATGTATATTATAAACTGTGTCTGACTTCTCAATAGACATACTTGCCAATCCTCCCTATTTAGGAGAGAGACTCTCGATTTTGGACCCTAAAAATTAGCATTCTCAACCTGTGAATTTGCTGAACTATTCAAATATTCTAAGATCTAATGATTTCATCTGAAAGAACAACTCAAAATATGTCTTGTAAAGGGTTATTTTGTCTCCAGTGGGTATCTACACATTTTAATTAGGTTTTAATTTGGAGCGTGCAGAATCTCCCCCACTGAAATTCCTAAAAGTTGGCAAGTATGAAAAAAGATAACTCTGGTTTTCAAGGTTGTGGTAAACCCAGAGGGACTAGGAAATCCACCAGCAGAGTCTACCTCCTGGTGTATTGAAAGATGTATACAAGACACGTGTGATTGGTCCCTTAAAATTTGGTAAAAAATGTCACATCCTAGAAACATCCATCACATCAGGTAATTTTACTTAAACCATCATCTCACCTGAAACATCTCTAAACTAGTGCACAGTTTAAGCATGTATCACTAAATGGTTAACTCATTCACTCGTACATAACGAAACTGGACTCGCCCAGTCTTTGATTTGGTAAGGTTCAAAAGTGACTTTAGGGATGAATGGGTTAAACATTAAAGAAATTGTTTATTTCTCATAAACACTCACACAAAGCTAAAATTAAACAGATGCATTTTGGATAATAAAGGGAAGTGATTCAGATGAGCGGAGTTTTCTTGTTGTTTGTAGTTTACCTTTGTTTTACCGAGGGCAAAGTGATCCATGCCAAGTCTGTCCAGGAGAGTGTAGCAACTGTCACGTGTGTGGGGCACGCGTTCGTCCCACCGGAACGACAGCATGTGGTACCTGTCGTAATATAATGGAACATCAGAATTACAAGGATACATCACTTGTAACTGACTCAACTACAGGTATGTCACAGTGGTCAACCGGCTAGTCACTTGTAACTGACTCAGCTAGAGATTGGTCACAGTGGTGAACCATCCAGTCACTTGTTACTGACTCAACTAGAGGTATGTCACAGTGGTGAACTATCCAGTCACTTGTAACTGACTCAACTACAGGTATGTCACAGTGGTCAACCATCTAGTCACTTGTTACTGACTCAGCTAGAGATTTGTCATAATGGTGAACCGTCTAGTCACTTGTTCCTGACTCAGCTAGAGATTTGTCACAGTGGTGAACCATCCAGTCACTTGTTACTGACTCAGCTAGAGATTTGTCATAATGGTGAACCGTCTAGTCACTTGTTCCTGACTCAGCTAGAGATTTGTCACAGTGGTGAACCATCCAGTCACTTGTAACTGACTCAACTACAGGTATGTCACAGTGGTCAACCATCTAGTCACTTGTTACTGACTCAGCTAGAGATTTGTCACAGTGGTGAACC